AGCCTCACAGAATAGAACATGTGTTTTCCTACTGTGCCCCTTCTAGCCCCAAGAACTAGTTTTCTTTGCTGTTCCTTTTATTTCGTACTAGAGTGAGCCTCAGCTTGGCACTCCTAGATTCCTACACGATTAGTTTCTGAGGAAATGATCATTTTCTGTTCATGATATTCTCCTGGTGGCAATGAGCAAATGCTAACGATGCTGAATTATTATTGTCTGAGGGCGCAGTTTTTCCCTAGATCCTGTGATAATAGTGACCTCTACCCTACTATGTCCCTGAAATTTTGAACTTTCATATTATAGAAATATATTTTCCCAAAGTAAGTGAGATACTGTTTCAGTACTATTCTGAGATGTTCAAACTTGCACTCCATTACACTGAGAAATAGGAAATAATATTTTAGAGCAATACAATAGATTTAGGAATTTGAGGGCACTTCTCTGTAATAAGGAGATGTGCGGGAGGGATGGGTGTCATTACATACGACCAACGCTGAGTTGTACATTTAAAAATTGAAACATTTGTTATGTACGGTTTATAATAAAGAGTCAGCCAGAAAATAAAAAGAGGTAAATAAGAATTTTGATATTTTTAGAGGAGATTGATAATAGTGATGAGGGGAGTTTTTGAAGAAGCTCGAGTTGCTTAGTACATAGTGACCACAAAACTCTAAAATGCTGCATTCGTAAAAAGGAGTCACCTTATTGATAACACATATTCATGAACTTAAGTAATAATAGTGATTTTACTAACAGGGTGTTTGTCTTTAGAAATGTGAGGTAATATGTCTGAGATTCTGAGATTTGGAATCAGATATAACTTGGTTCAATCTAGAGTGTACCACTTATTAGCTAATATTTCAGTCCCCATTACTGTACTCGATACACTTGTAGGATAAAAATATGATGTAAGAACGAAGGACTTTGGGAAAATTCTGAGTACAAGGTAAAATACTCAAAAGTAGCTTGATAAATTTTAGTCCTATTTCTGGCAGCATCTTCCTTACAGTGAGTTCCCTGTCACTAGAAATATACCTGTTATGAAGGATGATGTTGTATCAGAGCTGTGGTGCAATGTGAATTACTGCAGACTTTTAAATGTCTAGTTGTCCTTAAAATCTATTGTGAATCTGAAACATTGAATTTATGTTAATATAACCTAAAAGTACAATTTTATTTTTAAATCACTAAGATTCCATCAAATGAAGTTCTGTAGTGTCCTATTTCCTGAACATTGTATTCCTGAACTGGATGTATTCAGTAGGAAATCCTTCTTATATCTTTCCTTAAGATAAAGTAGAAAAGGAGAATGATAAAAGGATGAATCTGAAATAAAATAAGGAAATTATAATGGGAACCAAGATTACGGAATTGAATACTTTCTCCCATAAAATATTGATTTTTCTAAAGTACCATTGTGTCAGAGGCTGACTTCTGTCCTTTTTTAATCCCTGCACATGTTTAGGTTTGAACAGTTGGCTTTATCCCATTGTGAAGTTAAGTGCTATACAAAATTACCTTCAAGACCCTTCATTCAACACAGATGGCCTCCTTTAGGCTACTTTTCTGTGTGATTTTTGGAGGTGCCACTAACGAGATGATATCATCAAGAGAGAACCTTAAAACCTTTTTGTTCAGATTAAATTATTGAAAAACTCTCAATTTCCTTCCTTTACCAGACACATGTCTACACAATAAAAGGCACAGATTATACTCTCCAATCCACAGCTACAGTTTTGTCGTATCATCAGTTACTGAGGAGTGCTGCTCCTTGAAATTTCCATAGAATCTCAGCACTTTGCTGTATTAAAATAATTGAAAGGTCAGAGTGCCTGCATACTGCCAGAGGTTATGTAATTTCCCCAGATCCACAGTGCTAAGTTAGAGTGCACTGATGACCTGATTGAAAGTCTTCTGAATTGCAGTCATCTTCCCACCACATCTACTTTACTCCTAAACACACACACACACACACACACACACACACACACACACACATTTATCTAGTTCTGTCTTCAAGTGAAAAAAATTAATGAATACTCTTAAAAGACTCAAACTCGTGTCTACATCAATGGCCAACACAGAGGTGGCTTACAATAGGAACCAAATAAAAGTGTTTTAGATGCGACTGGATCAAATCTTTAAGGCATTCAATGTAATCAATGCTTGTGAAGAAGGAAATTCTGTTTCAGAAGAGGACTCTCATACTGAATCTCTGACCGGCAACTGATGATGCTGTTGTTATCTGATGCTGATTGGTTCCCAGCACAGAAATGATTCAATCCAGGAACAAATTAGTTGCTTTTATTTGGGATGTGGGTGAAAGGGTCATAGTTCTCACCCTGTGATACTTTCTCTCACACCTGGTCCTCTCCTGTTCTCTCCTGTTCTCCAGCATGGCGTGTCTGTGGTTTCCTGGAGGCTCCTGGATGGCAGCTCTGGCAGTGACACTGATGGTGCTGAGCCCTCTCCTGACTTTAGCCAGGGACACCAGACGTATGTGCAACCCTTGGGTACTGAGCTATTATGCGGTGGGTGAAGAAGGGAGTTAACTTTTTACAATAGGTCTAGGCAGTGCCCCTAAAAAATTGTGACATTTTCTTCAGTGAAAACCTACATTTAGCAGATGGATCTCTAATTATTTCCATGATGAAAGGACCTGCATCTTGCTCTCCTATGAGACCTGTGTAAAGGTCTACATAGGCCCTTTCTTCTCAAACCTCCTTCAATAAAAACTCTCCAGCTTTGTACCACATTCTTTCATGGTCTGGAGGGATTTCAAAATAATGATGTTAAAGTAATTCCTCACCAGCCTTTCTCTTTGATATGCCAAATTATGCTAGAAGAAAGAAATTCTCTGAAAATTTTAAGAAGAGTCAAAAAGAACTGGAAGGGTCTCTCCAAGATCCTGTTATATCCTCACAGGACCTGTAGTGATGGTGCCTCTGCCCAGGATGTGAGGCTGGTCTGGAGGGATTTCAAAATAATGATGTTAAAGTAATTCCTCACCAGCCTTTCTCTTTGATATGCCAAATTATGCTAGAAGAAAGAAATTCTCTGAAAATTTTAAGAAGAGTCAAAAAGAACTGGAAGGGTCTCTCCAAGATCCTGTTATATCCTCACAGGACCTGTAGTGATGGTGCCTCTGCCCAGGATGTGAGGCTGTGCAATAGACCTTACCCTTAGCCTCTTCTTACTCTCCTTAAACTCCAATATTTATAGTTTGCATCCCTGTACTAAAGGGTTTTTGGTTTTCTTGTTTGTTTGTTTTTACAGAATTGGGCTGAGTGTTTTGTATTTCTCTCATTATTTTATGGAAAGAATTTTGGATGTGGGTGCCTTATGACTTGGAATAACCCTATAGATAAAGAGCTCTACGGGATAGTCTTTGGTGTCTTAAAAAAACTTAAGATATCTTCTGAAAGCCTGGTAGTGCTCATTACAAATTTATTTTGAAGCTTTCTGTATTGTCAGTTTCTCTTACATCCCTTGTATTCTCTGACTAGAGTTCATAAGAAAGGATCCAACTAGTGTAAGAAATGATATGAAATTCCATTTTTTATAGGACAAAAATAGTCAAATAGGGCTAGTGTTAGAACCTAAGGGAAGGTTAAGGGAAGCAGGATTTCACATGACCTACTCCAGTTCAAATCTCAACCCTGCCAATTGTGGGTACATGAATACTCCAAATCTTAATAGAATGGAGAAGAGGAGGAGAAGGGGTTGTGGTTAAGGGACTGTGGTACTGGTGCGCTCTCCCTCTCTCTCCTTGGTGAACACATGTCCCATGACTATTAAAATGTAGTCAGATATCAGTATTTCCCATGGTTTAAGGCGTATACCTTGAACAACATTAACATTTCATGGAATTGAAAGCCAGTAAGGGAATTAGCACCCTACTAGATTTTTGCCCCCAATTTTCCGAGGTTCATTCATTGTGTACTCTGTTTTCCTTCATTATCTGTCTGGGTACCTGTGCCTCTTATCTTTTTCTTCCTCCTGCTGTATCATCGCCAGTATTGATAAATCCCCCAAATTTATAGAAACCTTAGTACTATAATAGATCTATCAGGACGGATGAAACAATCAAAATCTCCTTTCTTTCTTTCTTCCTTCCTTTCTTTCTTTCTTTATTTCTTTTCTTTTTTTTTTTTTCTTTTTGGTTTTGAGAGTTTTTTTGCTACAGGGCATTGTGCTTGCCAGAAAGACACAGAGAGTCAGAGAGACAGAAAGCGAGAAATCACCCCCCAGGGGGGATGGCCATGCCACAATCTCTTCTCCTCCATTCCCCTCTCGGGATCTTGGGCACGCATGCACACGCAGCTGGTGTGAGTTTAAGCTACCGGATCTGGGACTCAAACTGTGGTCGACTACAGAAGAGTCTAGAGACGTAGACATTACTCTAACTGCTGGTCCCCAAATCTCCTTCTTTCTTAAAATCACATTTTTTTCCTACTTGTGAATATTTCTAACTAGAAAGGTGAGGAAGAGAAAATTGTCTGAATTTCTCACATAGAGTGGAAGACACGTCATGTGCCATGGCGTAAATGGGCGTTAGAGCGTGTGTCCCTCTCACTGCCAGGATCCCACAGTGATCCGTGCCCAGATCCCTGGTTTATTTACTTAGACCACAGGTGTTTCTGGGAACAACTGTTTTTGTACTGGGCTCCATTCTAGGGTCAAGAATTGTATTTGAATAGTAAAAAAAGATCCCTAATGCTATGTGAATAGGAGTAATTACTGCTCTATAGAAAAAAATGATCAGATGGTAATACTGGATTCACCTGACTTCAGTTTAAGTGGCTAGGGAGGTCTCTCTGAGGAAGTGACATCTAGCTGTGGAAGGAATGATGAGAAAAACACAGCCATGTTAAGAGCCAAGGGAAAGTATTCCAAGGAGACACGGCAGGAGAAAGGATAAAATGTGGGTAACAGGCCATGTTTAAGGGACAGAAAGTGTGTGCAAAGGCTGAAATCAGTGAGCAAGGGGGTTTAGCAGCATGAGAGCAGAAGGCCGACGAGATCTGGAGCCTAATCATACTAGACCTGAAGGCGCTGGTAAGATACTTGGATTTCATTTTAACCAGATGTGGGAAGCTACTGGAGGGTGATGAGGAGAGACAACTTACATTCAGGTTTGAAAATGATTCTAGGGGCCAGCAGATCGCATAGCGGTTATATACCTGGACTCTAACATGGCCAATCACAGTTCAAGTCCCAGACCAGGTGACTTGAAACTCATGCTGATTGAATGTGCATGCTCATGTGTGCCCTAAATCCTCAAGGTTAATGAAGGAGAAGCGATTGCGGCATGGCCATCCCCTGTGTGTGTGTGTGTGTGTGTGTGTGTGTGTGATTTCTCACTTTCCCTCTCACTTTCTTTGTCTCTCTCTCTTTCTCTCGTGAGTGCACGTTCCCTAAGGCAAAAACCTCCATAAAAAATTAAAAGTGATTCTAACTGCTATGTGGAGATTGGATCGTTGGGTTCACAGTAGTATTGGGGAGACCGCTGAGAAGCACAGAATTCTCTACAGAAGACTTGTAGTTTCATTTAGTGCCATGGTGATAAAAATAATGAAGGTCAAGTGAACAGACTAGGATAGACTTTTGTGTGATTTGTTAAGGAATTAAATATACAGAGGAGGTTTTAAAAAGTACAGGATATTTTAAAGAATTTTGTCTTGAGAAATAGGTAACCAGAGATACTGTTTACTGAGATAGTTAAGACTGTGGGAGGAAAAGATTTGAAGTGGGTGATTAGAAATAAAGGCTTTAGGGGCCAGCAGGTGGCTGGTGGCTAAAGCACTGGACTTCCATGTGGCTGACCATGGTCGGAGCCCTGAATCAGCAGCTCGCAAATCATGTTGGCATGTGTGTGCACCTGACCAGACTCTGAGGTGAGACTAGAGGAGAAGGGGTTGTGGTGTAGCCGTCCCACATGGGTGTGATTTCTCATCTTCCCTCTCTCTGTGAATGTATGTGCCCTGTGACCAAAAAACAAAACAACAACAAACAAACAAAATGCTTTTAAAAAGAAAGAAAGGCTTGTTTAAGTTACAATTCAAATAGTTTTTAACATGAATGCGGAACTGTCGAGAAGTCAGTTGACTAGGAACCTAGAGTTAGGGTGAGGTTGGGACCAGAACGGTTTTCATCCCTGGCACGTGTGCTGCATTAACTCCCGGGGAAGAGGAAGAGGGGAAACGGGGACAGGAGCTGTCTCCTCGTCGCACAGGAGCTGTCTACTCGTTTTTTTCATTGCCCAGTCCAGTGTTGGGATCCGTGACCCTGACATCCAGCTGGGTTGCTGTCTCCACGGTGGCCTTGGCGGTTCTTGGCAGAAAAGTGAGCGATCTCAGTACAGTACAGAACTTTGGGAGCCGCTGGGCAGTATGCGCTGTGTTTTCTTGTTGCTCCTGTAACCCATGTTGGGATGCTGGGCATCAGGATCTGGCCCTGGAGTCTCCTCCGCACTCTGTTGTCCACAACTCTGGGAGTCTGCCAGTTGCGCTTAATCCTGACATTATTGGTCTGACTGGTGCCGGTGAACTTCTCTGACCTTTATGACGATCTTGGTCCTCACAAAAGTCTGAGGGCAGCCATGGTACATGGTAAGAGATGGCTGCCACCTCTGCAGGCCTGGAGAAAGAGGTGACCTCATGTCTTAAATGTCACTTTTCAGAGTCCCTCTCTGGCATCCTATTGTAATTTAGATAATTCTACTGTCAGTTCTCTGGTATAGAAGGCCACATTTCTCTCTTGACATCTCCCATTCCTGGGTAAATTCCTGTATTTGCGTTTTGTCAATCACTGTTTAGTGGACTTTAAGCTTCATGGGGAGGGGTGATGTCCATTTTTCCCTTCCTTGGGTCCCCACAGTCCTGGTAGAGAAAGAATGAGGTGAGGGCTGTCGGGGTGAGAGGTGAGGGCTATCAGAGTGGGAGGAGAGGGCAGTGAGTATGTTTATGGGAAGCTTCTAGGAGGAGGTGGCACAGGCAGGCCACAGGCAAACCCTCCTCCAGCTCTCTCTTGGAATCTGTGGTTATTCACAAGACTGGAGTGGGTACCTAAGGGCTCTGGATCCAAGGGATTTTACTGCCAGAGTGGCGTCCTCCTACAGTTCCTGGACAGGTACTTCTACAACCGGGAGGAGTACCTGCGCTTCGACAGCGACGTGGGCGAGTACCGGGCGGTGACCGAGCTGGGGCGGCCAGACGCCGAGTACTGGAACCGCCTGACAGACCGCCTGGATTACCTGCGGGGCGCGGTGGACACCTACTGCAGACACAACTACGGGGTTGGCGAGAGCTTCACGGTGCAGCGGCGAGGTGAGTGGGCCGAGGGCGGCGGTGT